TGCGGTAATTTATAAAATAAAGGCAAAGCCGAGTTTTTTATATATAAAATATTAAAATACGAATGATGTAATTTTAAATTTGTCTAGCATACAGCCATACAAATTTGGTTGAAGATTTTTAGCAAATTATTATTAATCAAATTAATTTTCTAAAAATTGTTAGCCCTCAAAAAAAATCTCAAATGTCAATCTGGCGTAAAAAAAAATTTTCGCTTATATGAATAGGGACATGAGTCATGGGCAAAACTTTGTACTTGATTGCTCATGAAAGTTTGTTTTCTCGTGTTATTCATTAGAATAATCTTTATATGACCGTTAAATAAAAATCCATTATTCTCCCGTTTACACGAATTAAAATCCTTACTTCACATTCTATCACTATCCTTGTCGATTTCTTGCCATTTAGCAGAAAAAAATTTTTTCCATGTGAACAATGACGCATCTAAATTTAGCAAATAAATGTTGTACAAATTAGTATTATGAGATAGGTGGTAAAAATCGGCCGTTATACATGGATGGATGAATTGTGCGTGTGGCTTATTCAATCCAATTACGTTTCAGAATATTCCAAAAGATCTATGGAAAAGGTGCGTTGTTTTTTCTGTTACACGTGTTTATTTATATCAACCACTTAAAACTACCAGCTAACCAGGAGTGTTAAATTTTCATTTTTTTTTGGTATTTGCATCATTTGTTTCAAAATTTTATATATACAAAATAGTTAATATTAAAATGCTTTTGCCTCATCCCCCCCAACAATGACTCTAATATTCAAAGTTTAACTTCATTAATATTTTTCCTTCTCTTCCCTCTTCACTTCCTTTGTAACTCTCTTTCCCTACGTGAGCTGTTGGTGGTGGTGGTTGTTGTAAATGACGTTTCTTGTCTTGTGGACGGCGAGGTCTATATTTGTACTCAGGAAATCTCTTTGTGTGCTCTTCTTTGGCCTTTTCTGCCAACTTCTGATACTTGAGTCTAACTTCCAAAGATTCTTCATGCCACATTTTTCCAATTTCTTTGGAAACATCATTATTAGAGATTCCAGCATTTTGAGCAACTATAACTGGTTGCTTTGCTCTTCTGTAGAGGATAAAGGCGTTCGGAGGTCGTGGAGTTTTCTTTGGTTTGCTGTTGGCCTTGTTTGCGTTAGCATTGTCTTTCTTTGAATTTGTATTGACGCCACATGGTAGTGCATATGAAGGAAGACGAACATCGGTGTCAGGAAGCATTCTTGATACATTTGGAGTAGCTGAGACCGGTTTTGTTGATTCCAAAAGATTTGTTACTGTTTGAGCTGCTGTATCATTTGGTACCAAGACAGGCTCGAAACCTTCAGGGATGAAATAGAAATGACCTTTTCTTTGTTCATATAGATCTTGAACTTTGTCATAGGAGACGTATTCAAAATGAGGAGCTTGGTTTTTTTTTGTTTTTTCATTGTTGAGTTTGTTATTATTTTGATCATTATCAATATTATCGTCATTGTCATTTATATTCTCGATGCTATCTTTTCCCTCTTTTCCATTTACTTCAATATTAATATCGTAATTTAATTTTATTCCTAAACCTTCAGCTACTTCATTACTATTACTATTATTATTATTATAATTATAATTATCATAATCGAATTCTTCGAATTCGATATCACTATTGTTTAATATTTCTTCGTCATGTTCTTGAAACATATTTAACGAAACACTAGAACTAGGAGAAGAAATGGAGGTGGTGGAAGTGGTGGTGATAGATGGCTTGTTCTTCTTTTCTCCAATAAAATTTTGGAATCTTAAAGAATCAGGTCTTAGAGCAAGGGGGCTAGAAGAAATAACTGTCGACATTTGAATAAATAAAACTTAATAAAAAAATTTTAAATTCTAATATAATAATAACTAAGATTAAAAATATTATATTAATAATATATATGTTGTTATTATTATTTGTTTGTTTTTTTCTTGGAATAATAATAAAAATTTGTAAAATTGTCAAAATTTCAATCAAAATTTGAGTTTTTTCTCCCTAGAAGATTTTTTCTTTTTTTTATATTTTTTTTTGGAAACTAAATATAGTTTATAATATAATCAATAGTTATAAATGTGTATAAATAGTATAAATAAGGTCATTAATAATAAATTAATTTGAATTACAAAAATATAAATAAATATAAATATAAATATAAAGAGAATTTATTCACGCCACCTATACTTAAATAGTCCGAAGTTCACCGAGAAAAAAATAATATAAATATTACTGCGGTAATTTATAAAATAAAGGCAAAGCCGAGTTTTTTATATATAAAATATTAAAATACGAATGATGTAATTTTAAATTTGTCTAGCATACAGCCATACAAATTTGGTTGAAGATTTTTAGCAAATTATTATTAATCAAATTAATTTTCTAAAAATTGTTTTTTTATTGAAATTTTTTAATGATTGTTGGCTTCTTTTCTTCTTCAATATATAGTACACCATCTTCTTTCCATAACAGAACTTGCTCTATAGGACTGCGGATCATCAATTAATTATCTGCCATCAACAATTCGTAATTCATTTAAAACATTTGATTTCGAATTCAGTTAAAACTTTATATTGCCCTCATTGTTTTCAGATTCCAAAGACAATAATAAAAATTTACTATAACCAACTCAAAGTCCTAGATAAACTTACCTCGATGTTATTGAACTTCTTGATTCTTTCAATTGTTGTCCTTTGTCAAGAATTTCGTCATCTATATTTTCACTTACCGCTCCATAGATTTAATGATTGTACTATATACACTGCCACGTAGCTGAAAATTTATTTTATGTAAAGTTCCTTAAGACTACTAGAACCGTTTATACCAGGTTCTATCGAGGCTTTGCCATTGTCAGAAATGAAGATGAATTCCATGTTTTTTGCAATTATGATGTCACGACGAATATTTAAAATTCGCATTTGAACAGTCTTTTTGCTTCTTAAGCAGAAAATCAGAATTGGAAGGTTTTGTCAGAAACAAATTCATATTCATATCCGATCTAAACAATCTTTGTTATTATATAATTATTATAAGTAGTATGCAGTAATATATTTCACCTGGTTTAACGAATGTCTGGAAGAGAAGAGAAGAATAACTATGCAAATATGGTTTGCAATTTGTAATCAGGTATTACTCTGTGTTTCCTTGTCAATATGTAGGGCATTGCGAGCCGAGTCAGGCCGAGCTCGAGCCAATTCGAAATTTAATATTTGCAGGACCACTGAAAATAATCGATGAATTGTATGACATAATCGAATTTTAGAACATTTAAATCATCATCAATAATTTTATGAGACTAAAAAATTTCAAATATTAATAAAAGCACTTTTAGGTTCTGAAATAAACAGATATTTAAAAAAAACCGTTTAAACAATCTTTATTATTGTTGAGTTGGACTAGAGTTTCTATTCGTAATAGTAATACAAATTTTATTCGAAAGTTGAGCGAGCTCGGGATTTTCAAGAAAATAGGCTCTTAAATTGTTTTTAGGTAATGGATTGCACAAATATAATAAAAAATATTATGAAATAGTAGAATTAATCTAATTTTATGTAACATCAAATTCGAGTCTTCGGAGCTTTAGACAATAAATAATTCAGTCACATTCGACGACTAGAGTCAAAAGTTTCGTCACACAATTATTAGTCAAGTATTTTTATTTAGTCGACATTCCTCACTTTAATCAATGCTTTTGATTTGATCAAAGGCAATGACAAAACTTTGGACTTCAGTCATTAACGTGACTAAAATATTTTGTTATTTGACGATTACAAATTCCTAATGGTTAAAGTAATATAGTTATTTAGTAATTAAAATTAAAAATGATACCTTTTTTTGAAGGAGTTTTGCAATCATGTTTTAATATCCGCTTCATCGCCACTATCATTATAATTATTAATTATTGAAACCCCGTTTTGTATTGAATTAACCCAAATATTCAATATAATATTGGAAATTCTAATTACTTCTCTTCCCACCATTATTTTATTATCTATCTCAAGATATATTTCAATCTCTTCATCTGGTACAGTAACAAGATTATATTATTAA